AGGTAAGTCTTGATTCATCAAAGGCTAGCTTCTAACAATCAAGACTTTTATCGCAATGTGTTCAAAAGCATACAAGTGCCCGAAAGGAATCGAATGGTCAAACAAAGCATACAGGTAGCAGGTTTGTAAATAGAGCATGGCAATGCTTGTACTCTATGAAGAAAAATGAGACTATACAGAAGAAGGTGGATTATTGAGCCGAATGAAAATCTGTACAGACATCCTGATATCACATACAATGGAAACCCGTTACTGTGAAGGAAAATTCAGGCGATCATTCACCGGTAAACAAAATATACACCTTGTCCGTTAAGAAATCACATCAACGTGACAGAAATTTCGCGGCCGTCTAATTAGGTTGCTCAGTACATAACAGTTTGAACATAAGTGGAATGTAGAGCGAATTCGATTACAAAGATACATGCATATTTCAGGAGAAACTAGACGACGTGGCCTCAAATACATTTTTACTAGTTTAAAGGTGGAAATTTTGCCAATTACAATGGAACTCCGGTGCAGCGAGTTCGTTTAAAAAACACATATCTTCATTGGTCTTCAGTACCGTAAAATACTTCCTTATCAACTGTCTACGAGAAGTCACCAAGCTCTTCATTGACTCAGCGTAAGGTTGAATTATCGGGAGACATCAACAAGAATGGAGTCTATAAGGGAATCCTCAGAGCTTCAAAAAACAACTAGAGATAAGTGTCATTTATCCTGTCGCTTTTTACATGCATGATTTAGACATTTGCATCTCTTCCTGTTGTTCATGATATGTTCCGTAAATTGCTTAAACAATTTCTCAACCATCTCTTGATTATACATCACTAACAGTATTGCTGAAATTAACTGTTCCCTCTCAACAATTTCATACCCTAACTTTGTTTCAGCTCGGATTTTCTTGTGCAGCTACATGCCCAGACGACGCGATTTTTCCATGATGAGAGTCTCTAAAAGACAGTTACAATCAAAATAGACAAAGGTTTGGCAAACAGTTTTTCCATAAAATTAAGGGAAACAATCCTAATTACGATTGTCTCCGACGTTGTTCGCCCAAATGCACGAAACCAGATGAAGAAAAATGTGTCTGCCGGCGGTAGGACTAGGTGAAAAAATGCTGAGCTATGGCTTTCCTCCGAGGTATACTTGGCAGTATATCTTAAAAACAGGGGGGGGATTGCATGACCGTGTTGCTCAAATGCAGTAAACCAGATGTAGTTCAGCTCCTCGCTACTCTATTCCATGAGTAAGCCACAATTACATCCTAACTCATTTCAGTAAGAGTCTATTCTCCGTAGAAACCATGGCAACACCCGGTTACTTTAAATAAGTAAGTTTCTTTCTTCAACAGGGCACACTACACACACGGTCGCTCAGATTTATTCAACAGCCCATGACTGGTTTTACCCATCTCGGGGCTATTCAGGTAGGTTCACTCCCAGATTTGTAATCAGCCTTGCGTTCTACTTGAACCCAGTTAAATCAAACACCAAATTTCGTACAAATGGAAAAACTCTGTCTTGCAAATGATCTGATAACGGGAGAATCAATCGAATCCCTCAGTTACAATGTTCTCCAAAAGCCAAAAAGGTGACTTTATGGTGTAACCGGCACGACGTTCGAGACATCACAGTACGCCCTCTCGACATAACACTGTACTCGAGAATATATAGCGTGATATCTCGAATACCACACAAACTTATAAATGAGGGGATGCTTGTGTGTAAGCGAGAGACTGCACTGAGTTTCCTATCAGCACGAGATAATTGCAGATAAGTGCTTTTCGAAAATTGCGCAAAATTTGGTGTTCAGTTCAGACGGAAAGTTGCTGGAACCTCTGGAAATACGCCTAACTGCTAATACTCAAGAAGGACCATACCGGTCGTGGGCTTTCCAGTAGACTCAAGAGGATTTTGTAATATCCAGAAAGCATACCGCGTCATGCCAAACAGCGGGCAAAACAGAACATTGGGAGGTGTTTATTCAATACATTCGCTCTGAAAACACCAGCCAAAATTTCCGTGAGCACTAGTATGAGTTGCAGGCAAGTCTAGTTTATAAAATTCGCTCTCTGTTTTGACGACTATCTGCAGTACAACCCTTGAAAGGCCAACCAATTATTTTCACACAGCTATATTCCATTTCAACCTATAGCCCTGAAATTCAAAAGGCCTTGACAAACTGATGATACTGTGTACGTATGAATTGTGGTTGCCACATGCTCGAGGCTGATTGAGTATATGACTACCTAAGTCGCAGGAAAATAAATGCTGTTATTCTGGAATGGTTTCACGTCCCGACTGATTTTCTTATTTCTCTTTGACTTACGCTTTAAAATCCTTTCTGCTCTTGCTGAAGTTAGAATCTACACTTTTGTCCGATCAGTACGTATCATAGTGCAACTGTTACAATTTTCGCGGAGTAAGCGGCATGCATGTGGGCGGGGGGGAGTTGTCATGTTGGAACTAATCTCCCCTTCTGAGCTACCACAAATGCCCAGATGGAGAGGCATTTGATAAATGGCTATCAAATGATTGCCTCTGTATCGGTGACACCATTGATTTGCAACGACAGAGCTAATCCATAATCAGAGAAGGGTGTTAATCTCAGTCCCGAAATTTTGGGGAATCCGGAAAAAGCAGAGGAATGATAAAGAACATTTTGGCAAGGTGGAACTGAAACCCATCGCGGGCGGTCGGAGAGTGCTTACGATCCAATATTGTCTAGCAACCTCCAGGCTGAGACAGATTCCCCTTACTGACCCAGAATCACCTCGGCTATCACTCCAGAAGGACACTTAGATATCTGGATAATCTAGATTGAAATTTTTACTGACCTCAAGGTCATTTATCCTCATTCATCAATGCAAGGGATGTTCGTTCCTCCAGTCCGTCTTGCATGAGGACTACGTTCAAGCAAGAATAAATTACAACCCCGTGTATTTAAAGCGAGTTTAGAATAGTCCACTGAGTAAGGCGCAAACATACTGACCGGAACGTCCCTGAGTTCAACCCACTCTTCTCAACTCGACCGATGTTGCCTAGGCTTGGGCAACCCAGCAGTATCACAGCTTTCGTGTAACATTGCAACTATGCACGAAATAGACTGTAAAGGTGAACGATTGATCTTTAACCTTTACTTTGAAGTGGCTGCTCAACTCACCTGAAGCTCTTATCGAGATAAACGGAGAGTGGACAACTTCGTACGGAAGCTTTTGGAGAGCTCACCATACACCCTCACCCGCCCAGAAGTATGTGAATATAGGGATAGGATTATGTTTACAAACTTCTGGAGCATAACCTGTTGAGCAAGTGTAGTTAACAGAACTAATCGATCAACAGAATCGAACGCACCCTTGAAGTCAAGGGATACGAGGATTGTGGGTCGTCTGTAAATGTGGCATTGCTGTAACACCTGATGGAGTGTGAAGACGTGGTCAACGCAGACTCTACCCGGTCGAAATCCCGCTTGATTCTCACGAGTCAAGACTTCGCGTGCCACCATAAGACGACAAAGAATCAGCGACGCCAGAAGTCCTGTCACATAGGGTGTCAAACTAACACTTCTGTGGTTGTGAGTGCCTTTTTTGAAAATGGACACTACTATCGATTCACCCGTTGTCTGGGACGGTCTCCTTCTCCCAGAGAGACCGAAATGCGCTAGACAGGCACTGGCTGAGGAATCCACCACCATCCTTGAAAAGAGCAGGTGGAAGGTCATCAGGACCAGCAGCACGATGACACTTAAGTAGAGAAATATATTCGGACACTTCTGAGACTGAAGGCCGCTCAATATCTACAGTCCACCTTTCTGTTGAAGGCCGGGATTTTGGACTGGAGGTAGCAGGTGACCAGCTGAATTGAATTTTTAACCTTATGGTTCGCGAATGAGTAAAAGTTATCAGCGTAATTGCAGAACACTGCATACTGAAAAGAGTGCGAAAACGGTGGATTGTGCAAATACTGAGCACACTTCCAATTCAAGTTGTTTCAGGGCAGTGTCATCGGGGATCGCTCCCATGACAGATCGCCATGGGACCCAAATACTGTATTCGTGTTTAAACGCCTTTTGGATGCTAGAACTTATATGCGAAAGTTGTCTCTGAGGTTTGCTTTAAATCGAACATTATGAGTGGAGGTATCTGCTCGTTATTTAAGGACCGAATTCCAGATTATCCTCATGTGTTTAAAGTCTTGACTATTTGGTTATCGGCAACCCGAAATAGCCAGCTGAGACACAAGCAGGAAGGGAAGACACGAGCATTTCTCAACCCGTCACCACGTGCTGTGGGAAATTAAACCCCGAAATACATCCTCCCCACATTTAGATAGAGGGCTATTCAAATGAACGCAACTGCTTTTTACCAAGCAGTCATGAGTCAGGAAACTTCAGATCCCTATCGAGCTCGCTGGCAGAGAACTAAATCACATGCCTCCAGAAAAAAGGGCTCGATAGAACAAATATGTTTACAAAGTGGTTTATGGACCATGTTATGTTTGAATGCAGCACTCATTGTCATCGTGTTGACGATTCAAAATGTGAATGGTTGTTCCTTCATTGTCTGGGTGGTCCTTTTGTGCATCCAACCTAATTTGATGCACATGGGCCTGGGAGGCCTACATTTTCTTTGCAGCAGTGTGTTACGTAATATTCCCCCGACCGAACAACATTGATTCCGGTGTTCTCCAGCAGGCTTGTGGGCACTATTAACTCAAGTCTTTTCGACATAATGTCGGTTGCTACAACCCCAAATACAACCAGCATGCGCAAGATACGGCTTGGAGTTTCACCGGAAAGGAACTTCCAGCAGTTATCACTTTTGAAAACAAATCGACCTCGTGAGAAACGGCTAGCGACTGACACACAAGAGCTCATATGTCCGATTGGTCTACACCCAATTGAGCTTCGTGCGGCTGAAATTTCCCGGGTCCGACCACATCTGTACCGACGCCTAACGGTTCTGCATGTGATATTCTGGACCCAATGGCAAACAAGCAAGACGTTCGTTAGCAAAATAACAATTTTTGGCACTGTACAACCGATACGGTGTGGAAGATTGCAAAGTGGACGAGATTTGAGAAAAACATTAGGAAAACTCTGTGGGGAAAAAAGTTCTAAGCAATTAGCTCCGGACAGGTGGGTGATTTGCAACGATAAATCTGGTGAACTCCATTTCAAAAATGAAAGAAGCTGGAAGAATAAATCAAACGTGCGGACCTCTGACACTGTAAACGTTTGGCCTGTTCGTTTTAAAACCGTCGCAGATCACGTAGGACTGAAATTGTAGAAAGATGAAATAGGTACCGGTAAAATAATGCGATTAACTTGAAAACAAAACACACTGTGGCTGTGTGTGCTGAAAAGCCGGGATGATATACGTGTGAGGTATAGATGAAATAGTGCGAGTGACAATATAGGAAATTGGGCTGGTTGCACACCGTGCACTGCTTTCATGTGAAAAGCCATCCGGTAAAGTCTCACCATATGTCCGAAACGTGCCACGACTGTAGTATCTGGCCAGGTACGATTAAGAGACAGTTGTGCATGACGTCCAAAAAGTGCACGAGAAATAACAAGGCAAAACTGAGGGGAAAATGAACTTCTATCAGAACATATAGGAGCCATGCTTGACAAAATATGCAACGTTTTGATTTTTACATAGCAACGCTTAGCCCACTTCATGTCCCGGTGCACGGACTTATCTGTGGGTTGCAATGTCTTTAAAAAGCTAAAAATGCTCTCCGTGAGGCAGTTGGCGCGTTTCGCTAACTCGTAATAAATGCTGTTGTGCCTCGCCAACTTCCATATGGGTCATTCACGTCTTGCTTCAATAAAGTCCGGATACCGATACACAGGTCTTCTATGTTATGGTTTGTCTTTCGCCTCATCATTGACAATGATTTTAAGGAAGGACGGCGAGTGAAATAAAATGGTAGTATAAGATATGCCGATAAATTTCTCATGTTGAAATGCTCTGGAATTTTGTAGAGAGCTATCCTGAAAGATGCACTGGTATCACACCAGAGGTCGAACAGCCTCGTGGCCACCTCATCATGACACTTAATCACATTCGAATTCCTACTTAGAATCTGTGGAATTCGCACTGAATCATCCCTAGGACTGCATCGAATATCGTCAAGAAAGATGTGCAGTTTGTCAGAAATTACAAATGAGCGCGGTATGAATAAGCAGGAGTTCAGGTTTCATCCCAGGATTGGTAGGAAAATGCTAATTCATTTGCAATATTGCGTCAAATTCATGGAATCAAGTGATGTCAAATATCTGGTGCAGTACTCAATGGGGAACGATTTTGGGAGAAAATAAAACCCGAGAACTAAACTGAGAGAGCTCTATCGCTCTAAACTGACCAACAATACGGTGTGTTAGGGAATTCAAGGGGCGCCTAGCTAATCCCTCGGAAGCTGAACGCAGTGATTGCTGAAAAACGTTTCAACGTCGTCAACAACAAAAATGAATTGCGAGAACAGAAAGTCAAGTGAATTGAAAATATCGACAGAGATAAGATAACACAAAATCAACCATTTCGTCATCGACCCAGATCAGCTAGTCGTTAGTCAAGCAAAAACGTCCAAAGTACTGTTGTTCACTACCCTGAGCCACCGACGGGCGCTTACTGAGTTGGGATAGCACTCAGGCGTATCACTCATAGTACGCGTATTCGAACTTCTTATGTCAATTAATACTTATGGGGTTGTTTGACATTTTCCATAAACTATGAAATTTATGGAGAAAAGCTGAAACACAAAAAAATGCTTCGAAAATTTCATTTCGTGAACGCATTACTTGATAATAGAAAAATTAGAAAGTTGGTGAGCAGTTCAGGTGTTTGGGCCATGCCGCTCTAAATGCAACAAGTTACGCTGTATTCATGAGATTAAATAAACCTTGTTCTGGTATGTTGCCTAAGAATAGCACCGAAATAGCGGCAGCAATTTCTCTATGTTCCTGACGAATGCATTTTAAACTCAATGTTAGAACTGCGACTTTTTGAGACAATCGTATATGCATCCAAGCTAACGGTAGGCTAATCAGTCATTGTTGTTGAGTGTTCGACGAAGGCATAGTCACCAACTTGTGGCAGATTGACAACTCCTCGACAAATTCCGACCTCACTATTCCTTTCAACTCGATACCATTTGAGCTGCATCGTTAGTCATTCGAATATGGCTCAATCCGATCCTGTTTATAACTCTGATGTACTTTTGGTAGCTCCTGTGGTAGGATGAGGCGGATCCCTTTTAAGTACCAAAACAGAGTTTTTCATATGCAGTAGCCGATTGCAAAGTCGGTATCTATTTTGACCTAACCTTTTATCATGTACAGTTCAGCTTTTCAGCATAGACCGGCTTCGCTGACAAGACGAAATCTCCATTGCTAAATTCATAAATCTTCTCACGCCACGAATAATCATTCCTTTACAATGGCCGGGAGCACATTCTGAGTGATGCTTACCCGTTTGTTGATTCCAAACGCCTTGCTTCTACTAAACATGAGCTGAACCAACCAACCTTCCGAAGCTGGTCAGTCAAAAATGAACGCGGACGAGATTCTGACAAGCGCAATAAATCAGGACGAGCTTCGAAACGGTTGGTGTTCTTTTTAGCACTAAATATTTAGGACCGATGAGTTGAAGAAAACAATATGATTCAATTGCTATAATTTAACCTAAAGAGGGTAGCCTTAGAACTAAAAAAGGATAGCTTTGTGGAAAAAACATGGTCGCAAAATCACTCCGTGTATGCGATATACTTATACTACCTACCATATGTAAGTGATCTGCTCGAAAAATGAAAAAAATCCACAAGTTACGTAGATCTAAGAAATCGTTACTCCAGGATTTAAGCAACATCGGACCACGTGACATGAATTGTAGGATCAAAGAATGGCGGCACATTACCCTAGCTAGTGCTGATCAGTCACATGTAACGGGATGATAGTGGTAAAGTTGCAACCGGAATGTTTCGCGTTCAGTATTCATCGGAATTGAGCGAGATTAGCCCTTTCAAATTTACTCAGGCAGCTTTGCTTAGTTTTTCTACATATATTGAAGTATCACCATTTGAATAAAAGCCGTATTTGAATGCTTGAAGAACGATAAGGCGACACACGATAAGTCGATACAGTGCTGTTCCCGAGAAGGGTGATCCTTTAAACAGTGAATTCCCAAGTAGAGGAAAACGGACTAGGTACGTAATGCACTACTCATAAGGTTGCTGAAAATTCGTCGACAGCCCACGACCGGTTTCGCCCTCCTTGGGGTAGGCGCAGGTAGGCGCAGTCCCCGAGTTTCCGTCAACCTTACGTTCTATTCAAAACCAAATTGAACGAACTTAGAAAAATACCTTCATTTGCAAGCAAATTCGATTTTGCGAGAGACTCACCTGGAATCCAGCTGAATCTCTCATTTGTGATGTTTCCAGGAAACTGAATGTGCTGCACCCGGCTTCCTTATGGACTAAGTATGGTTTTTTGTATCACAAAAGAATGCAAAACGAAGAGCCCCAAAGAAATGAGCGGCCTGATCACTTATGTTGAATTTTTTGGATGATACAAAGTAACATTTCCCAGACCAGGAATTTCCCTGTTCATGAGAATGAATATCCATCCCGAAAACAGTTGAGTTAAACGTACTACCTCTGTCAACGAATACGCGAAATCGTATATTTTAGATGAACCCCATAGCATAGCCATATTGGCGACGGGAATCGTTTCCCTATGGAAGAGGTTCATGAAAATATGAGCAAATTGCAAAATACTGCACTTCACGTACAGGTCTCTAGGTCAAACACCTGAAATGAGCTGTACTAAGCGTGTATTCGTTCTCCAAAAGGTTTCGGACACCGTCCCAATAGGCTTGAGATCGATTCCTTCAATGCTGTGACGCATGGTGAGAGACTCTACCGGAATATATCAACCAGAAGTCAAAGTCTAGTTTTCAGCATGGGGGTTTTGAGCAATGATTTCGTAAAAGCCACCAAGAGATTTAACAAAATCACAAAAATGGGAGGTGAGGAGCAATCTGTCTTAGAAATCAAAACCAGTCAGGCGACCGCGAACATTGAAAACTGACCCCAACTTTTCATTTAAAGTTCCTTAAATTTTTGTCTTGTATGCACTGCCATACCTGTATGAGCGCATGAACTCGGAAAAACCCGCACACGTGAACAGAACGGATGCATCCTCAAACTCCATTGCGTTGTCCTACCACTTCTGCGCTTCCTTGGGAATATCAACCATTTGATACAGTAAGTGATACTGCAGTGTTCCAGCACAGATTTCGAGACATCAACATGAAAACGCGGGAAATGAGTCGTGCTGCGACCACATTAGGGGTGTATGATCGACTTTTATTGCTATTATCAGGCAGATCGCGGTCGTCAATACCTGACACGGTTGTTGAACCAGCCAACGAAAATTTGCTTCTGGTCATTATATGGGAGATTCGCGTCGCCACCCGTCGGTCCAACTGTAAAAGCACGTGTGTTGTTGCCGTATTACCCAGAGTAGAAACCAAGTCTATCAGCATTCCAAACGAAATTCTAAAATATAATCGAACTGTCCAGTCAATGTACTTGATCAATGAAGCATCTGCTCCCAGGTGTGTCAAGCATACAGAATATCCGATGTATTCGGCCGAACCGAAGTGACAGGCTTCACCCCACCGACAAAAACTACTGAAAATGTCCAAAGGCAACCAAGTTTCTGCTAACCAACTGGGGTCAGGGTGAACATATAATAAACACCTGTCCGAAGTGGAAAGCTTACCACCGAGGCATTTTGAGACCTCCAAAGATGTATCCTTGTGTGAGAGAGTAGTGTACTGTGGGTAGGTTCGCAGGATTCCATGCAAGCCTTGCGTTGCCGGTCAGCGTGCGAGTGTGTGTTTGTGTGCATGCTTTGTGCGTGCAGAACAACATGATTCCGTCCCCAAATGGTACGCATGCAAGGCGATATAATGACCATTTTTATGGTCGACAAATGCACGCAAGAAGTACTCTTTAAACTCAGTAGAAGGCGAAGTTATAGCACTGAGCTTGATGTCCGAACCACAGGCCCCCACTGACTACAATGCGAAGTGTGCGGTCGGTAATGTCTGAGGCCAAGTAGATATGGCGCACAATGGTGGTGATTTGGATTGATGGTAAGTGCATTCTTTACGATCGGTGAAAAGCCTCTAGAAAGAGGCTACCGAAGCACCGGTGCGCTCAGGGTTAAAAGCTTCTCCGTTAGTGGGTGGTTACGTCTGGAAGCTTG